ACTAAAGGCGAACGTGATCGGGAGAACGTAGGATCGTAACATTTCGGGAGTGGTTACGACACCGATGTAGGTGGGTACGTATGTAGGGAGAGATATAGGACACAGGGTGGAGGTATAGGGAAGGTAAATGTCGTTCGGATGGTACGAAATATAGGTCAGGGTCGACCTCGGACTTCGGAGTTTCGGTGGCACCGTGCTCCCCGTTCGACCCAACCCCACCGAACACTGCGGAACCACCTTTAGGGTACGATCCCGATTTTCGATGATTTCCGGGGTGCCCCACCTCATCGAAAAGCATTTCTAAAAAAAATGCTCAAATCAACGTTTCATTAAAAAAAAAAAAAAGAAATGAAATTCCCAATCGAGAAAATGTTGAATTTCAAATCAGTTCTTTTAGTCCACAGTGGTCGAAATAGTATTGTTAGGGCGAAAGGGACATGCCTCCAAAATCAGTCAGTGAACGAGTGGTACTTGTCTTTTATACATATAATATACATATGTAAAATATTTTTGTCCTTCCAATAACGGGCCATGGACCACTGTGCGCTGATTAGAATTTGCAATTTAATTGACGAGGATGTGCAATTTAATTGTTTCACGAGCGAGCGGGAATTTCGGCAGGCAATTGGTCCGGGAAAAAATGATGGAAAAAAATTCATCACGTGTCCTGAATTTATTAGCGAGCCGGAGGGGCGATATTTGCCGCATGCCAGATGGCTCGTTTCTTTATAAAAAAAAAAAAAAAAACTGATAACATCAGCCAAGGGTTATTAAGCGTCCTTCCCGGTCGTACGAGGGGACATCCCTCGCTCCTGCCTGGCGATGACAAGGATATGGCGGTAATTTCACGCGAATCGGATGCAGAGAACGTGCTCGCCGAGGCCTCGAAATGTCGGGGAATAAAGTAAACGGGTAATACCAGGCCGGACATTTCGCGAGGGTTTCGCGAGGTATCGATTTCGGGGAGGATCGTCGACGGTAAGGAAGACTTATATCCAGGGCGAATTTCTGTTTGCCCAAAAACCATTAGTGTCACCAAATGGTCCATGCCTCCCGATAAAATTAGAAATTCGGAAATACCGTGTTAATTCGTTGCACCCCTAATTGCAACTTCGGATAGAATTATTTAATTTCCGTGATACAACACTCGTCCGAAATATTCAAATAAGGGCCAAAATTCAGTCATAAATTGGATAAACTGCATCGGATAACCAGCGCATTGAATACCTACGTCATCGGGATAGATATCAATTATGATGGTCGAATTAACGCTGGCGGTTTAACCGCGCAGCAATATACCTGATTAAAGAAGGTAAATAAATTCCCAAAGGCCGATTTCGGGGAACAAATAGATCGCCCTCGCACGCGGTGAATTTATTTCAACGACAATTCCGTAATGCGCCTCTGATAGGCTCTCGTATGAACGAACGATTATCGACGGGCCTACCGATCGTGTAGAAAATATAACTTTCAAGGCCGAATATTAATAGAACCCCTCGACAAGATTTATGCATTAATTCATCCCGGATTACGGCCGTGGGCAGGCCTTCAAATCGGAAAATCCTATGCACCGCCACGAACGTGTTGCAATCATTTCCGAGCGGTTGAAGATTCACCCTTTGTCGAATTCTTACGCGAAATCACGGAGATAAGCAACGTCGATCGAGTCTCATTAAATTCCACAATTGTTAATTAGATATTTCTCCTAAAATAAGGGAGAGTCGAATGGTCGAGTGAACGCATTTTCCGGGTAAGTAAATCCGCGGGGCGCGTACTCGTACGTAATCTAGGAGTAATCCACACATGGTAAGTATGGTCTATAGGATATAGAAAATGCGCAAGAATGGCACTTGGGCTCGCTCGTAGTTAGGTGAAACATTATGGCAAGGGGTGCATAATGTGCGGAGTTCTGGCTAGAATGCATTACATCTGGTACCTTAAGAGCATGCGGCTGAAGGGCTTGAATGCAATTAGGACACACTTAGGCGGAACGATATGTCCCTTTGGGAAAGGTTAACGTTAAGGTGGACTCGACAGTGGAACGAGGACAATTTTACGCTTTACGGCGAATCCCATTATCGGAGACATGACCGACCTCGGGACACTCTTCATCTTCCCGAAAAGGACGTTTGATATCGAGGTGAAATGAAACCTCGCTCTAACCGGTCGATTCGAATAAGACCCTTTTTTTATGGGCATTGGATGATGCATCCTGACGTCAGGAGTCATGTTGAAAGGTACGTACTATCGCGACTATTTAGAGCGCGTCAAGGAAGAAGATTACGCGACATGTTTCGGATGGCGGCCCTCCATAACACGGATGATGGAGCGCGCGTTAAATTCGGGAATCCGAAGCACCGACCCGCCAGAAAATCCCAATAAAACGGATGACAGGACGCACTCCGAGGTCCTTGGGCCAAGGATATCGGCTGCTTTGACGGGCCTCGATAAAACGGATGACCGAACGCGTTTCAGGTCTCCCGGAAAGAAACGACACAGGGAACATTAGGGACCGAGCAAAGTCGGAGCGAACGAGACGATTTGAGGGTGTGAAATTTCAGGAATAATGTTTGAAAACATAATTAGCCAAATTGCGTGTAAAATAGCGACGAGATCCGCCTTGAGGCGATCGTGGAAAAAAATTATTTTTTGCAGAGACTGACTACGGGGGCAGGGAAAAATCGGCGACCTGGCAGGAACACTGGAAGTTGACCGTAGTCCCTGGCAAGCAATTTTGGCAGACCCCTGGACAACTGCGTTACAACCCCCCGAGGACTCTCTTATTGGCCCAGACAACTTCGACGAGCGGGGCAAGAAGCCCAGGGGTGCGTTCTTTGCCGAAGTGCCCCAAACGGTGTCGGGGGTTGCTCCCCTCGAGGGACGTCACAAGGGCAGACCCCGAAAACGTCTCCATCCGAATACCAGACCGAATTACCGGATTGCGTGTAACGCGCATATCCCCGCCAGCAGTCGCCGTTTTATCCCCCCGCTCCCACAAGATCGATCCACTTAACTTAACCGATCTCCGGAAAAAAATTAATAAGACAAAAAAAATGATCCACCACGACGAAAGGATTTCACTTTCTTCGATGGCATCTCATCCCGGCTGATCGCGGGACGACTCGAGGATACTCTGAGAAAAACATTTAATTGATGGACTGGACATATGAACAGGAATAAATTGGACGCTAGGTTTATTCGGAATCGTGACCATTTATTTGGGTGAAATATATATAAATATTTCATTGGTTCGAATGGGGATATTTTCCTAGGTTGGGGGAAAGTGTTAAATCGGCGCCACTTTTAAAAGTCCCGGTGATCAAGGGCCCGAAGACGTCGGCTCCCGATAAGCCCGGAGATACGTCCTTGTCGGCGAGGTCCCTCGGGAGCGCTCAAATCCGGCACGAGGGCGCTAAACGGGTCCCGAGGACATTATTCCTCTAAATCGGCGAATCCTTTCCGAAGAGAGGAGAAGTCAGTTCGCTATTCGCGGGTTGTCGCGCATTCACGCGGGGCGGCACAAAGACTCGAGCGAGAACGATCGATTTGAGGGGCGACCCCGTGTGGGCAGGCAGCTGGATACCGAGAGTATATACAGCCAACTGGTACAGCCAACTATACGCAACGCCCCGAAGAATACCGAGGTGCACCTGCGTCGTTCGTCTTTGTCGAGAGCAGCACGCGCCGGCTATGGACCCCCCAAAACTAATATTGCCTGATTTCTCGTACCACCCCTAATCGCTATAATTGGGCAGGATTTTTTTAACCAAATTACTCGCAGAAAAATTCCCCGATCTCGAAGATAACGGGACGATAATGACCGGAGTGATAGGCGCGACATTAAGGGGATGTGAAAGTGGCATCTTAGGGATCAATCGTGAAAGTATTGGGTGTACCAATTTGTTTGCTGGTATGATGTGAAATTTCATGAGTTTCGGGACTGATCACTTGGAACTAAAATTTGAAATGAATTGGTACCCCCAATTTAGGGGAATGCTTTCATGAATGATTTGACCTCTCGGTCTGATCCTTTTAGAGCATCTTAAGTATTATAGGAAAATGAAGTAGAACGACTGGGGCGGATCCCTCGTTAGCCGATTCCTGGCGAGGATAGGCGGCGAATGTTGGAGTATTTCGGATCGGTATCGCTGCAACCCTCGGGCGGCATGAATAACGAGAGGGTGTACCCCGGCTCTTCCGCATCCGGCCGCAAGTTCGGGAACCCGGGGGAATTCATTTTCCGGTAGTTATATTCCGCTCATTGGCGGGGTTCTCATCATTTCGCGGTACGTTTGGCCGACCTCGAGGGGAGCACCCGGACGAGGAAGAGATTGGACTTTTTGCGGGGCGCCTCGCCACCTGGCGACGAAAGGTGGAGGGGTGAAGAAAAGGAAAACGTGCGTTTAATCTCGGACTCGAGGCGAATTGGACCGAGTCCATTAATTTTCCCGTTGGTAGTTCCTTAGACATCGGATATAAAATGGGTTTAAACGATCATTGGGAGATGTCCACGGACGAAAGACGGGGCAGAGTGGGTGGAGGCGCTCCGGGCCGATCGAGATACGTAAGCGGAAGATATGAAACTGCAAGGACCGTCTTTCTCCCCGAGTTATTTCCAAAGTTAGGAAGCTGTACCTCCTCGACCTCGAGAGTAGGGAATTTCGAAACTCCCTTTCCACTCGGCGGAAAGATCGACGTGGAACTGCGCCCGGTATCCAGATGCCTTTATTCGAGCTCTGTACTTTTATTTTTTTCTCGATTTCGGTATGATTTGGATTAATTGTTCCATTTCCACACCGTTCGATTCCAGCCGAGCAAAGAGAGCGCCTCTCTTTGCCCCCGTCATGTTCAGTTTCCCCGTGATATCAGCGAGCTATACCCGAGCGGGGAGTTAGAAGTTTCGAATTAGAGAACTTCCCCATTTCGCGGATCCCACGCTCCGAAGGGATCGAAACCGAATGTCGCTGCAGCGGGGAACTCCGGTATGTAATCGTACTCACCGGGTAATTCAGGGGTGCGATGTAACAATTTAGAGCCGCATTTGAGGCGGTGAGATGAGACGACGGCGGCAGCGAGCTGCTTTCGGAGATAACTACCTACATGGTCCCGGATTCCTCGAGGTCATCACCTGGTGGGACAGATAAAAAGTACATTAATAAGTTTCGTTAATATATTTCAATAATATAAGTTAAAAAGAAATTCTGAACCACCGCAACGACTTCGGAGTCTCGATCGAGCTCCGATCTTGAACGACGCCAACCGACATGGAAATAAATATATTTCAAAGATATACTAGTTTTTTAATTAAGTAAGTTTGAGAAATACGTATGTATTTCAAGTGGCTTAACACAGAAATAATTAAAATAAAGAACCGGGTAAATTGTGTCATAATTTACCGTGTAGGAAAAAATTGCCGCGTAAATTGAGGGAGGGGTGTACACGTAGAAAACACGTATATTAGACGTGTTATATCTACCCAGCTCTGATGGCGACCCAAACTCGATTCAGACCCGAGGCGGAGAAAGCTCGGAATTTGAGTAGCCTTGACTAAATCTCGTTTAAGTCTCCGATCCGAAGCAGATGGGAATTTCTTTTCTTATTCTCGCGCACCTCTTCAGGGATCTCACCAGAGACTCGACGCGGTTAAGTAATTACTTTCGATGACGAGAGTGCAGGCGACATTTACTCTCGAATAAAGCGCATTGATAAGCATCCCAGAAAATTACGCAAGTTCCCCGGAGCTTGGGAATAAGCCCGAAGGGGTGCCAGGGTGGTTTAGAACTCGTCTCGCCGGAGGGAGAGCTTAGAGATCGGCTAAGTTTCGGAACTCGACTTGATTAATTTCATTTTCGACTCGATGGTCACTTATTACGCTTAATCCACTTGTTGCGTCAAATTGCGTCCGTATCCCTGCAAAGTGGTTAAAGTTCTAAACGTAAGTTAGGCCAGGAATTATAAGAAATGCCCGGTAGCTTATCGGTAATTTCTCCTAAATAAGCATTCCTTATCGAAAAATTATGAGAATTTAATACAACGAAAAATGGAATGTCGGCTGGTTTTAGACCAAATCCCATGTAGTTTGTAATTCATTTTATACATATCACCGGGGATTTTCAAACTCTACAAGTGGTGTCGGAGGTGAACGCGAGTGTTTCTCTTCGTGCGTTTTAGCCGGAAATAATCGCCGGTGAAATTGCGCGGTAGAGAGTGCAATTCCCTGCAGTTTTCCTTGAGGAGAGGTTTTCTTTTCTCCATTGGCATCGAGGCTGCTTAGACACATTTTGGCATCGTTAGCCATCGGGATATATCTCGACTGCAGGGCGCCTCTTCGGCAGGAAGTGGCTAATGCGATTTACGTAAATCCAGTTTGGGCTTCCGGAGACTTACGAACGGGAAGAGAGAGCCTTCCCAAAGCCTTGCGAAAGTGTTCCGATGGAATTAATACGTCGCACGGTGAGGTCGATAAAGTGGGTTCCATGGTGCCGGTGAGCTGATCAGACCCTAATCAATTATTAACACTCGGCACCATTCACAGCTCGGCCCCCGTGAATTTCCCCACCGATAACGGGCCGTGTCGGGAAAAAAAATCCTTCCACAGAGAGAAAACCCGAATTTCGACGGCTTATTCAGCGGAATCGCGTCCAAAGACGAGCCGCGCGTATGCACCGACGGGGGACTTGGACGCTGCGGATAAAAGCTCTTTATGCACCGCCCCGAGTGCAGTTTCCAGCAAGAACGAAAAACTGCCTTCGTTGGGGAATGAACACGATCGGGGCGACTCGTTTCTAGTGCCTTTTCGGAAAATCTGCACTTTGGATCGTTGAATGAATAAAACGGTGCGCGAGCTTGCATGGGAGTTCGCACCTTGCGTCTCATCTTCCTCGGGAGGTTAAATCCACTGACGCTGGATATAAATTAAATCCGACTTTTAAGGACGATAAACCTTGGTAACGACGTTAAGGTAATAAAAAAGGGACAACCAAACGTGGGGAAAATATTTATAAAACCTTTTTCCTCCAAACTGGGTGCACCGAATAATTCCCAACTTTTCTCTCCACGTGATCGCGGAGGTCCCGACGAAAGTCTTGAAACTCGGGAAATATAATTTTTCTACCAAAACTATACAATGTAACATGTAATGTAAAAACTGTAGAAATAAACTAACTATAGAATGGGCCTTAAGTATTACCTTGAGGGCGTCAGAAATTGAACGCGTCGCCGAAATTCGGGGCGGCAATTAATCGCGACCTGGCTCGAAGTTCCGGAAGCTGGATGCGCAAACGATCCTGCGGAAGGAATAAACAAGCGACTGAAACGAGCAGGTTACAGTGGAAAATCCAGGTAACGATCCTGCAGGAGTTGTTTACCGACGCCGCGGCAGCGTGTCCTCGCACATACGAGGACTACTTGATTATATGAGCCATTACCGAGCGGCCGTGCTTTGAACAATTATGGTAATCCTCTATCATGTCCGAGGGCGAGTGCGTCGAGGTTCAAACAAGTGGAAAAATGAAAACGCCGCCCCATACGACCGTTTCCGAGGTCCAGGAAAATCATTGCGTGTCCTGCCGACATTTTTCCCAGTTTTCCTCTCCCACGCGATGACTATCGCGAGTATATTTCTTGCGGGCGCAATTCCGAGGTGAATTTTCCTAACGGATCCGCCGCGTTACAATGGGACTCGGCATTTGCAGGAGACCTCGTGTACTCTGGGCCGAGATAATCAGTCCAAAGTGGCAGTCCTTCCTTGGTTCATTATACTTGTAAAATTCCACCCTCCCGGCATTGGCTTCATTTTGTCTGATTTGCATGTACCGACGCTCCCGAGCATTCTCGACGTATAATGTCGCGCAAGAACCATTATGCTGTAAAAATACCGTTCTCCAGGAGGACGGAATTTTTACAAAGTCTCGAATTTATCCAGGGTTGTTTTCATTTTTTTCCTCAGAAGTGGAATCGAGGCCGAGGTCCAGTCGGAAAACGTCTCGAATGGTCGGGATCGTCTGGTCGGCAAAGAAACTTCTCCTTCGAGCCTTTACGTGCAGATCCCTTCCACATTTCGCAATTGTACTAACGAGGGGCTGTTTTACCCGATTTCGTCCTCTCGATCGAGCACTCAATGTCCCAGGAAACGAGAAACCCTGGTCCAGCTGCCCTAACCTCGATTTTCGAAATGCTTTTTTCCTCCCTGGAAAAATGAAGTCTCAACAATGATGTCCCGTAGACTTAATTTCTTGGAAATCTCATTGGCATATTTAATTTTATCACTTCATAGGCGATAGTACCTGCCCAGGTACACCCTCGTACATACACGTGTACTCTTGTTCACGTGTCGCGTTCGCGCGTATTAGTCCAAAACGTATCGAGTTTGCGTGTACGAGCCCTTGATCGTTCCCGGAGACGGTAAACTAATTTTCTTCGCAGCGGGAGAGCCTTGAATTGACCAATCAAGGATCACGTGCCATTATGTAGTTTAATCATGGCGTGATATCGGAACGCGCGTCACGCACACTCTCGCCAGCGTGGGCCATTAGGTCGCGTGCGCGTGTCTAAATAGAGTTCGTTAAGTCCCTCTAAAAATCCCGGCATCTTCTTTCCCCGAAACTCACGTAAGAGATTGTCCGTGGAGTTGCGTAAAATTAAGTGAATTAATTACCCCCCTCCCGTAGTAAATTAGTCGTCATTCAGGCGGGGTGCCTCCTGCTTATGACGACCCCGGAGCAAAAGTCGGGGCGATACGACGACCGTGATAAATATTCACACCCCGTAAGGAAAGCATATTCCCGGAGGTATCAGCAGCCGTCCCGGAAACTGGGGCGCGATAAATTGTTCGCGATCTTTGTGCTAACGTCTTTGCAGTCTGGTGGCAGCCCAGGGACAATTTGCAGATGCGGTAACTCTACGACGACCTACGAAGAGGGAGTGCACAATTAACGCGTTCACTACCAAAGTGGGAACGATGACTTGAACCGCTAGATGGCACTGGCATCGATTCGGTGGGAGGAAATGAAAACGTACTTTCTCACTCGGATGAGGAAAAAGCGACGCTTTTTGCTGCGCGAAAGTGTGCAAAAACCCAGGGACAATTTGCAGATGCGGTAACTCTCCGACGACCTACGAAGAGGGAGTGCACAATTAACGCGTTACTACCAAAGTGGGAACGATGACTTGAACCGCTAGATGGCACTGGCATCGATTCGGTGGGAGGAAATGAAAACGTACTTTCTCACTCGGATGAGGAAAAAGCGATGCTTTTCGCTTCGCGAAAGTGTGCAAAAACACACGGAGCACCTTCGCGAGTTATTGGAATAAATTCCCAGTAATGGCAATTTTTATTTTAGGTCCATTATGGCGACATGAGACGCACGCGTACGTTGCAGTCTGTAAACCTGGCTAAAGCCGGTAATTTCGGTGATATGTCGGTTAATCCCCCTCTGGTGAACTTTCGGAGCATAACCATCGAGAAGCTGGATTCTGGTCTAAATGCTCCCAAAATCCCATCTCGCGATCCGCATCTCGAGTTTGCCTAATCGTGACACTAAACAGCCCGAATCGCGGGTAAACCTCGAAAATCCGGGTTCGATTAACGTAGAAATTCGAGAATAGTTTAAACCAGGCATATCCGAAATTTCTCCTCGATAAGTATCTTTGGCATGGTTTTATAAAACTGGAGTCTCTAGAAGGGGTTGAAAAATCAAGATGCGACATTCCCCCGTGGACCCCAGAGCCCCCGTCACGTCTACGGGCCATGACTACTTGGGAAATGTTGAAAAAGTCACGTAGGGGTTTACGACGGAGGACTTTCGGAATTTCTTTTTAGATTGAAGTGCCTTTTTAAGAAGCGAAACTCCGCGAACCGGCGACCCGGGCCGCGACACATCTGTCGCGACCCGTGAGAAGAAGTTCTCGATTCTCGCTCGTGTAGAAAACGTAAAAAATTCGACGGGGAGAAATCCTCGACCCGACGATCGCTACCTCGACCAGCGAACGAAGGTGAAAAATAAAATGCGTGCACTTGATTAAGAGAATTTACCCCACCTCGGGGGGAATTAATGGCGCCACTTAAAATGGGAATTTAAACCCCTTCCCGTAAGGGCCAGATTACAAGGAGGGATATCTCCCTTCTCG